CGGCATCGTCCGCTGGGACATGAAATTGCAATACCAGTCTCGTTGAATTTGATAGATTTCCAATACCAGTCTCGTTGAATTCATAGTTTTGGGATTCATAGATTTAGATTTTGTGGATCAAGATTTATAGATTTTGTAAATGGTCTCGTTGAATTCACAGATTTAAGGCTAGGGGAATGATTTTGAAAATTTGATAAATATGAATGACTTATGTGCAATTTCAGGCATACTAGTAATTACCCGTGCGATGCACGGGGAAATTATTATCTATACGCTTTTTAGAATGCACCTTTGTATATAAATTATGTAATAATGCAATGATCATGATCATAAGAATAGACAAACATATAATTAAACTGAAAAGATCATATATTATTGAACACTTCCCTATATACAACATTGTTGGTTTGATTCTTTGGCATGTCATCTTCACCACAAATTAAGATTTTCAAACATTTTCGGTTAGTGACATGTGAGACAACAATATATAACTGGCCATGACTGAATACTGGTTTCTTAAGAAATAAGCAAACATGAGATAAGGATTGTCCCTGGCTCTTGTTTATAGTCATGGCGCAAGAAACCATAATGAGAAATTGCCGCTGTTGGAACTTAAAAGGAATTCTAACATCAGAAGAAGTTATGGCCATTCCTGGAATCAACACCTTATCACCAGCATGATCTCCTGTGAGTATCTTACACTCAAGAACATGACTGGATAGCTTTGTCACAACCAATCGTGTCTCATTACACAAACCCATAGAATGATCATGTTCCGCAACAACATGACCGGAGTTCCAATTTTCAAATACAACTCATTGTTCGGTATTCCGGAACACTTGATACTATTCAAAACCTCAAGCGTATGGAGATCAGACAAAAAATCATTATTAGAATCCGATTTGCATGTACTGTCAGAACTCAAGTACATACGACCATCCAACAAATTCAATGATGTCATGTACTCATTGATAGACTCGGCCACATCCAACGTCGGGCGCTATAATTCAAATTACAGATCAACTCCCAATTTTTCAAAAATTTAAAAAAAAAAGTTATCAATTGTAGTAAAATCTAAAATTTTAGGCGAGAACTTTTTTTCAACTTAAAGTAAATCCCTATTGTTATTTTATAATAGTAGATTGAATTTCCAAAAGAACTAAGTCAAAGGTTTTGACTCAAATTTTTTATCAAGTTTCTATAAATGATATTTTAATCAACCTCTTTCAATATATATATATAGATATAGATATATACATAGGGAATGGTTCAGATGCTCCCCGTTTTTAAAAGTGAGGACGTGAGAATTGATCTGGTCCGTTCACCACTCATCTAATCTAACGTTCAGAATTAATTTATTACATTAATCAATATTTCCGATTTCGCGGGCGGTACGTCTTCAGAACTCTCTACTCTACTTTCCCTCTCCATTTTCGCACTTGCTCCTTGTTTCTGTTCCATTCTCTTCCATTTTTGATTTTAATTTTGATTTCGCGGGCGGTACATCTCAATTCCTGTTTCCGTTTTATCCTTCGTAGTCTATTCTCGCAGATTCTTATCTTAAATTGGTGAGTATTTTTGTTGTTGTTTTTGTTTGTAATAACTTTTTCGATTTTAGGTTTTTCATTCTTTCATTTAATAGATTAAAGTAATATGTTTTGGTTATTTTTTGCTAGGTTAGCTGTCTGATGCTGCTAGGTTAGTGTATGATGTTACTAGGTTAGTTGTCTGATGGTGCTAGGTTAGTTACCTGTAGCTGATATGTTGGTTGTCTGATGTTGTTAGCTTAGTTGTCTTTGCTGCTAAGATTAGTTGTCTTTTGCTGTTAGGTTAGTTGTCTGATGCTGCTAGGTTAGTTGTTTTTTGTTGCTAGATTAGTTGTCTTTTGTTGCTAGGTTAGTTGTCTTTTGCTGCTAGGTTAGTTGTCTGATGCTGCTAGGTTAGTTGTCTGACTGCTAGATTAGTTGTCTGATGTTGCTAGGTTAGTTATCTTTGCTGCTAGGTTAGTTGTCTGATGCTGCTAGGTTAGTTGAGTTTTTGTAGCTAGGTTAGTTACCTGTAGCTGCTATGTTAGTTGTCTGATGTTGCTAGGTTAGTTGTCTTTTGCTGCTAGGTTAGTTGTCTGATGTTGCTAGGTTAGTTGTCTGATGCTGCTAGGTTAGTTATTTGTAGTTGCTTGGTTAGTTGCAAGTTTACTTTTCTGTTGATGCAAGGTTTGTTATATCTATTTGACATTTTTTTTTTGTAACTCAGTTTAATTTGAACAAATGGAGCCTCAGAGGGATGATGATATTCTTTTGCTGACTGATTCATCTCACAAGACTGTACGTGAAGCTTGTCAACTGCAGTCTGATGCTAAAATTCATTTCCCAAGGCTCTCAACACGGTCTTCTCCAAAAGTTTTGGTTGAGTCCATTGCTAAATTAAATGATGATCAGAAAAGAGCTGTAGAGAAAATGGGGTTTGGATAATTGCTGCATCTTAACATTAAAGAGATTCCAACCAATTTATCTTTCTGGGTGTTGGACAATTTTGACCCAATTAGCTCTGTATTGCGTTGTAGTGAGGGCAAAATCCACATTGAATCTGTTGATGTGGAGAAGGTATTAGGCTTTCCTAGAGGGAATAAGACTATTGAATTAAAGAGGAAATCTGAGTGTTGTGAGTTGTTGGATAATTGGAGGAGTAAGTTTACACAATCTTCTGATAAAAATCACTGCTGAAAATGTGAGCAAGGAAATGTTGGAGTGTCGTGATGGTGGTGAAATGTTATGTTGTCATTTTGCTGCTTTGGTGGATGCTCTAATAATTGGATCAATATCTGCTGGTTATGTCAACCCACTTTTCTTCAAGTCCATTAATGACATAACATGTGTATCTGACTTGAATTGGTGTGAATGCACTCTTCAAAATTTGATTTCAAAAAGAATGAAATAGGAAAAAACCAACAAGACTGCTTTTAATGGGCCTCTTCTTTTTCTCATTGTAAGGATGTATTTTTATATTATTCTTAAACAATTTGTATTCCATTTTTTTTATATATATATATATATATAATTTTTTTTTCCAAAATGCAGGTTTTATACGTTGATCGGCTTGCTTTTGTAAATCGTGAGGTTCCAAGGAGTCTGCCCTCCTTTGTTGGTTGGAACTGTAACCTGTTGCAGAAGAGATCCAATGCTGAGGCCAAAATTGGTGGTTTTGGCCGAGGTTTTGTTGATGAACGTTTGGAACAAATGCCATTACTGTCATTAAAATCAAAACAAAAGGAAATGTCTGATGATTTTGTTCAGGTTGGTATTTTTTTTGTTTGTCTGTAGTGCAATTATTTTTAGGTATATCTTGTTGCTGGGTTAGTTTTTTGATGTTGCTGGGATATTTCTTTGTTTTTGCTAGTTTAGTTTTTTATTGTTGCTAGGTTAGTTGTCTGATTTTGCTAGCTTACTTCTTTCTTGTTGCTAGGTTAGTTATCTTTAGGTGCTAGTTTAGTTGTTTATTGCTGCTAGGTTAGTTATTTGTAGCTGCTAGTTTAGTTGTTTATTGTTGCTAGGTTAGTTGTCTGTTTCTGCTAGGTTACTTCTTTCTTGTTGCTAGGATAGTTATTTTTTGCTGCTAGGTTAATTGTTTCTTGTTGCTAGGTTAGTTATGTTTTGCTGTTAGGTTACTGTTTCTTGTTGCTAGGTTAGTTATCTGTAGCTGCTAGGTTAGTTGTCTTTTCTTGCTAGGTTAGTTGTCTTTTGCTGCTAGGTTAATTGTTTATTGTTGCTAGGTTAGTTGTCTGATGTTGCTAGGTTAGTTGTTTAATTTTCCTCCATATTTTCTTATAATTGGTTCACTCTGTTTAATTTTAAGTATAATCAGGGTTATAAATCCAAGCTTCTAAGCAAGGTTATGTGCTTGGCTACTGATGTTGTTGATGTTATAAACTTGCTTGAAGATGCCCCCCATGAAGTGACCGAAGATTTAAATTACAAGAAGATACAACAAGCAACGGAAAATCTTATTTCTGTCAGTCCCGATGCACCTCAATCTTCTCAGAAGACAGGTTCTTTTGAAGATAGTGAAGAAACAGCTGCTTTCTGGAATGATCCAGAAACAATTGCAGCTATTGAGAAGATTGAGCGTGCTATTGGGAAGAGAGCTGCATACAAGAAGAAGACACAAGGTGATGATGTTCCCAGTTTTTCATTGGGATTGGAGTTGTCCTCTCAGTCCCAAGAGAGTGACAGAGGTTGGGAGGACATTCTAAATGTTTCAAGGCAGTTTTCAACTGATAACAGAGATGATCATGATGATTCTATCCCCCAACCGTCTGTTAAGCCAGTGAAAAATAAAGAGCCGGAGATTAGAGAGAGAGAGAGGAAGTGAAGAAAGAGATGGAGAAGAGAATTAAAGAAAGAAAGGATGAAGAAAGACAAAAGAAAGAGAAAGAGACAGAGAGAATTGAAGAAGAAAAAGAGATTGAGGAGAATCAACCTCTCTCTCTCTTTATGTTGGAGAAACAGAAGCAGAAACAGAAAGAGAGAGAGACACTTGAAAAATAAAAAGAGAAAGAGAGAGAAGCAGGAGAAAGAGAAAGAGATGCAGAGAGAGAAGCAGGAGAAAGAGAAAGAGAAAGAGAGAGAGAGAGAGAGAAAAGAAGCAGAGAGAGAAGAAAGAGAGAGAACAGAAACATAGGGAGGAGAAGGAGAGAGAAGTCAGAGAGAGGGAAAAGAAAGAGAGAGAGCAGAAGAAGAGAGAGGAGAAGGAGAGAGAGAAGAAAGAGAGAGAGGAGAAAGAAAAACAGGAGAAAGAGAGAGAGGAGAAAGAAAGACAAGAGAAAGAGAGAGAAAAGAAACAGAGGGAGGAGAAGGAGAGAGAAGTCAGAGAGAGGGAGGAGAAGAAGGAGAGAGAGAACAGAGAGAGGAAGGAGAAGGAGAGAGAGAGAGTTCAAAAAGAAAAAAGAGGTTGAGAGAGAGAGGTTGGAGAAAGAAAACGAGAAAGAGAGAGAGAAAGATAGAATGAGGCTTGAAAAAGAAAAAAAGAAAGAGAAAGAGAGGGAGAGAATTGAGAAAGAGAAAGAGATTGCGAGAGAGAGGGTTGAGCAGGAGAAGCTGAGACAGAGAGAGAAAGTGGAGAAAGATGAGAAAGAAAGAATTCAGAAAGAAAAAATGGAGAAAAAGAAGAAAGAAGAACAGGAGAAATTGAAGCAACAGGAGAAGTTGAAAAGGAAACTGAAAGACAATGAGAAACTTGCATTGAAACAATACAACATATCAAAAGCAGGTTCAAGAGATGAAGAAATATATGACTGGATATTGCATGAAGATCCAGAGACAATGTAATTTTTCATACTTGAGAAATTTAATATAATTTTCACATTTTATTGCATTTATTAATTCCAAATTTATATTTTATTGTTCTTTTTTTATTTTTGTGCTGTCAGGTATGAGATAATATTTCAGAATGGGGATCTAATTTTAATGAAAGAAGATCTCAGGTCTTTAAGACCAGATGAATATGTCAGTGTCTCTGTATTTGATACCTGGTCTAGAATTTTGAACTTGAGTGAACAATCCAGAAAACCTGGCCAGCCGTTGAGATTTTTTGCATCAACATATTCTAGTGTAAGTTTACTTATATATTTTATTCTTATTTAGTTTAATATTTTCTTGTTTTGGTATTTCCTGTTATTGAATTTACATTGAAGGTGCAATTTTAGTTGTTTTTTGATGTTGCTAGGTTAGTACTCTGTAGTTGCTAAGTTAGTTATCAGAAGTTGCTAGGTTAGTTATCACTTGTTGCTACGTTAGTTGTATACTGCTGCTAGGTTAGTTTTATTTCTGATGCTGCTAGGTTAGATATATGTAGTTGCTAGGGTACTTGTCTGTTGTTGCTAGATTAGTTATCAGAAGTTGCTAGATTAGTTATCAGAAGTTGCTAGGTTAGTTATGACTTGTTGCTACTATAGATATATACTGCTGCTAGGTTAGGTTTATTTCTGATGTTGCTAGGTTACTTGTCTGTTGTTGCTAGGTTAGATATCTTTTGGTGCTCGGTTAGTTATTTGTATAACATATTTGATTAGCTTAGTTATATTTGATTTATTATTTTATAACATATTTTTTTCATTTGTTTCCAGAATTACAGTGTTCCAATCGCTGGGGAGAAATGGGATTTGAAGTCCACTTCTTTATTCATCGAGAGTTTGGATAATGATTTTAGAAAATCAAAAGCTCATTCTAAATTTGAAGATGTTGATATGGTAATTTTCATTTTAAATTGGAGTTGATTAGTTTATTTATTTACTAACTAGCTAATAATATATAATTTTTATTTTTTATCAGATGTTCTTTCCTGTGTGCAAGAGTGATCACTTGTATGTGGTCTGTTTTGATTTGAAAGCATATCACATTCACATACTGAACAATTCTACTGTTGGTGACCTTACATGTGGAAAATATGAATATCAACATATAAATCCGGTAATAATCTCTAATCTTTTTAAATTAATTTTAGAACAATGCATATACAGTTGATATTATATCATGCAATGTTAATACATTTTTAATAATTGTTCCTTTTTTTTTCAGAAAAAACTACTTGTTGAATATTTGAAATTCCAAAAAATGCTTGAATGTGCATCACTTGTTTTCAAATTGAAGACAGTCAGACTTGATATGCCATGGAGAGATGAGAAGAATAAAGTAGACTGTGGAGTGTTTGTCATGCGCCATATGGAAACATATTTTGGAGCTGGCGTTAAAAATTGGAACTCTGGTCTTCTAAAGGATAATCCTGAGCAGTTGAAACAAATGCGTATTAAATATTTCTCGAAAATTGTCCTAAATGAATTCAATGAGCTGAAATTAGAAAACGATAAGAAGGCAGATGTGTTTGGAGGAAAGAAGAAACCTGCCAAAAGGGTGAAGACTGTCCATTTCAAAGACAATTAACTCGTAGCTTGATTTCAGTGACAATGTTTTTCTTTTTGGATTTGTATACTTTTTTTATGTATATATTATTTTTTGATGTATATATTAGTTATTTGAATTGCAAGGTTAATATTCTGTAGTTGCTAGTTTAGTTGCTTAAAGTTGCAAAGTTAGTTGAGTAGTTTAAATGTTGCTAGTTTAGCCCTATCTAGTTGCTAGGTTAGTTATCTGTTGTTGCAAGCTTACTTGTCTGTAGTTGCTAGGTTAGATATATTTAGTTGCAAGGTTAGATATATGTAGTTGCAAGGTTAGACATATTTTCATTACTAGGTTAATCGTATTTAGTTGCAAGGTTTGTTATATCTAGTTGCTATGTTAGATAATTTTAGTTACAAGGTTAGTTATATTCAGGTGCAAGGTTAGATATATTTAGTTGCGGTTAGTTATTTTTACTTGCAATGTCAGTTTTATATCTATGCAGTTCCTAGCTTAGTTGTACCCAGTTGCTATGTTAGTTATCCGAAGCTGCTGGGTAACGGGAGCCCAAAATGTCAACGAACCAGATACAAAGGTCTACATAGTCTGACAATCAAAAACAAAAACAAAAGAAAAAATAAGAAAGAAAAACCGAAAAACGAAAAAGAAACAAAAACTACAATATAAGGTCGATCTTCGGGCTAACAGATGCCCGAAATAAATGTCTATACTAATGAAAACAGCAATCCTAAACTAGTGAAAGCGGAAGCGGAAAGCTGGATATCCAAGCTGGTCCATCCGTACCAGAGAGCGAAGACGGAGTGGAGCAGTGTCGGTATGGAATGTATGTGTGCCTGGTATGGTGGCGCCAAGGCTGGCCAGGTAATCAGCCGGTCTGTTCCCCTCACGGAAAATGTGCGTGATCCTGTGATGGACTGCCTGAAGTAGGTCTCTAATGCGCAGAAGCGGGTGCTGAATCTGCCACGAGCCCTGATGGCCCGAAGTCAGGAGGGTAGCGACAGCCGCAGCATCCAGCTCGATCCATATATGACTAGAAAGATGGACGGCAATCTGAAGACCAATCTGTAGTGCCTGAATCTCTGCATCGTAAGCTCGAGGCGGCCTGAATGGACGAGTGGAAGGCGGTGATGAGGGCGCCGCTATGGTCCCGAATCAAGCCTCCTCCTCCGGCAAGTCCAGTGTGGCGATCAAAGGAGCCATCAGTGTTCAGCTTGACCCACGGAGAGTCAGGTCGAACCCAAACAACAGCTCTGTCCCGTGGAGGCCGAACAGGCGGTCGTGGGGCCACCATGTAGCGATGCGTGGCGTGCAGCCCGTCCAGTCTCGGGCCGTGAGCCTGCCCAATGCGGTGAGGAGTGAGATGTATCTCTCTACCTGCAAAACAATATGAGAAAACATAAAAGTAATATCCCTATGCTTCGCACTATTCCTCTCTGTCCAGGTGAACCAAAGGATCAGACAAGGAATGAGGAAGCCCACGTGTCTAAGGTGTGTGCTCTGTGAGAAAAAACTCAGGAGCTCAAAAAAACTGTATGTGGTGGGTAGGGATATATGAGTCCAAGTGGCAAAATGCTCCCACACTCTCCTCACAATCTCACTCTCTAGAAAAAGGTGGGTAAAGGTCTCAGTCTCATGGCGTCCAGTCTCAGAGCAACACACACACCGAGAGGGGAAAGAGATCCCTCTCGCGTGTAGCACAGTATCGACGGGTATCCGGCGCAAGAGGAGGCGCCAAAGGAACACCGAAATAGTAGGCGTGAAAAGGTCACTCCAGATAGCCCCGAAGAGAAGATTAGGCCGATCCCTCAGCCTTATCTGCTCCCAAGTCGAGGTAGTAGAAAACACACCTGATGATGTAAGTCTCCACCTCATGCTATCTGAACCGTCCCCCGAGATAGGGATCTGCTGGATCTGATCTAATAACTGCTCACTAAAACCCGCACCATCCCCCAACTCCCTATCAAGCTTCTCCCTATCCCACGACCCGTCCGTCCAGAGGTCGCTCACGATCAGGTAGGGGGAATGCGACACCTGCCTATCCCTAGACAACGGCCTATCACCTACCCACCACTCATCCCAGACACTGACATCGCCCCGGCCTAAAACCCAAAAGATGTGATCATGGGCTCGCCTCCCGACCCTAGTGAGGCGCCGCCACTGTCTGCTATCGTGATCAACAGCCGTGACCCAACAAGGGTGGTTGGCACGTTTAGGGCAGTACTTGCCGCGAAGGTACTAAGCCCAAAGCGACTTTCCTTCCCTGAAGCGCCACCACAGCTTGTATGAGAAAGCTGTAACAATGTCCCTGAGGCGACGAATGCCAAGGCCACCCTCGGGGAGGGGGCGGCAGATAGAATCCCAACTCACCCAGGGAGTACGTCTCCCCCTCCCAGACCCGCCCTCATAACCCCAGAAATAACGAGCCATAATCAGTTCAATCTCGTCAAGAGTAGACCTAGGGGGGTCGAGGACCATAAGCGAGTGAATCGGAAGAGAGCTAAGAGTGCTCTTGATCAGCGCTAGCCGACCACCGAAGAAAAGATATCTATGCGACCAACCAGAGATCCTGTCGATCATCCTCTGCCTGATGCTCGCAAAGAGCGCTCTCGTGAGGTTGCCCTTATATAAAGGGACCCCGAGGTAGGTAATGGGAAGGTCGCCACGCGCAAAGCCAGTAATGTCGTGGACCCGCTGAGCCCACATGTCCACGGTGGCAGATGAAAGGATGAAGGTGCTCTTCTGCACACTGACCAGCTGACCGGTGACGAAGCCATAGTGCTCCAAAAGGCGCATAAGCTCGACCAGTCCATCATCATCCGCCCGGGTGAAGATAATGATGTCATCCGCATAAGAGAGGTGAGAGATGGTAGGACCATAGCCACGGGTGCTATAGGTCATATGGGGAGAGTCGCGGATGAAGCCGTCAAGACAGCGAGAGAGGTAGTCCGCCGCAAGAACGAAGAGGGAAGAGGAAAGAGGGTCGCCCTGTCTAAGGCCTCTAGAGGAGGGAAAGAAGTCGGTGGGGTTGGCATTAATCAGGACCGAGAACGTGCAATGCTCCACACACGCCTCCACAAAGCTGATCCAACGCTCAGGGAGTCCCATCCTAGCCAACGCCTATCCGAAGCTGCTGGGTTAGTTGTCTTATGTTGCTAGGGTAGTTGTCTGAAGCTGCAAGGTTAGTTCTAGCAAGGTTAGTTGCTTTTTGTGGCTAGGTTATTTCTTTCATTCCGCTAGGTTAGTTGTCTATTGTTGCTATGTTAGTTGTCTACAGTTGCCAGGTTTGTTGTTTAAAGCTGCAAGGTTAGTTTTAGCATGTTGCAGTGATAGTTTTTGTTATTGCTATGTTAGTTCTATCTTGTTGCTAGGTTAGTTATATGGCACTGCTATGTTAGATATATCTAGTTGCTAGGGTATAATAACTAACAAACACTTCTAACAAAAAGATCAAAAGATATCAAAAGACATTAAATAATAACTAAAAATGCATCAAATAAGATTTATTACAAAATAGTTCCATCAGAGTATCGTTCAAAAGACAGCAAACAAGTTTTCTTCAATCAGATCACAATAAAAGACACTACCATCAGACCAGAGAACAAAAGACACAACGATCACTCACTACATCTTAATTCTAAATTTTATCATGTCTACATCAGGCACAAGGAAGAAAGTGCAGGTTGTCCCTTCTAAGATTGCAATTTCTTCAAACGATTGTCGAGCGTCGGCATTCTGCATAGTTTTCCATCCATCATCTCCCTGAGCGATGTTTACCCTGTAAACTCTTCCTCTTACTTGGATACGTGCGCGGTGGTAGTGATAAAATTTGCCGTCGATATGTTCCCTCCAGAAAGGCACTGGTATGGGCTACAAGAATAAAATAATTTATATGTATTATATGTATTTAAATACAAACAAGTTAATTATGCAGCCAGATGAAATTTATTAAACTTACCAAACGGACACGTTCAACATGTGTGGGCTTAATCTTGACATTGAAAGTATGTTGTGGCAGCCGACTACAATGGTTGCGGTCAATGATTCAAATTATATAGTCTTAGTTGCTAGTTGGTCTGAAGTGCAATTTGGAACCAAGTTCAACGTCCTCTGTAACCATGTACTCGCGCCAACCGTCTACAATTGTTGGGCAACCATCAATCCTTTTTATCACAGTCTCATACGTGCGTTCTTCTAATGTATGTAAAATGCATCTCTAGGACAGATCCTCATCAGGGAAAAAATAGTGCTTTGATGGTGGAAAGGGCTGGAACATCACAACATATTTTCTTCTTTCAGTTAAACTGTGCTTTTTAAATGTAACAGTGCATTATTAAAAGAAGAATTAAAAAAAAGAAGTTTACCATAGTGTGGAGAACACTGGGCAAAACACGCTTAGACAACCATGGCAGTAAGTATTCATTATCGACATTCCAGTGATGCAGAGTATTGTGTTCCATATTCTGTAGTCCAATATTTCAGAGAGAAAGGGGTTATGAAACATGTTATGCAATAGTTAATACATAGAACATGGTGAGGATTAAGAGAAAATTAACAGAGATTATAATTCTTATTATAAAGATTTTAATACATAGAAATTGTAGAAGATTTTCACCTTCAGCTTTGTGATGTAGTCTTCGTTGGTAGGGCGACACAAAAGTATTTTAGCCTTTGACAGTGCAGTGTAACCCTAATTTTTGTCCACTTTATATGAAGTCTGCCATTACTGAGCAATAACCACCCGACTTTTCATATGATATAAATATTGCTAGGTTAGTTGTTTATTGTTGCTAGGTTAGTTTTTTGATGCTGCTAGGTTATTTTATCTTTTGCTGCTAGGTTAGTTGTTTATTGTTGCTAAGTTAGTTCTCTGTTGTTGCTTGGTTTGTTGTCTGAAGTTGCAATGTTAGTTGTAGCATGTTACAGGGATAATATTAGTTCTCTGTTGTTGCTTGGTTTGTTGTCTGCTACTGCTAGGTTAGTTGTCTCTTGTTGCTAGGTTTTTTTTTTTTTTTTTGCAAAACCGAAAGAGGCATAATTTGAGCAGTACAAATTGTGATGTATCTCAGTCGAAAAGACATTATCTGAATGACAAACACAATATATTGGCTTAACAGTCTCACAGGTCACTAACAGTTACTCCAAATGTTAATATCAATTCCAAAAGGACCAATTCGCCAATAACAAAATTCACTGACTTTTAATTCTCTGTCTGCTCCCTTAGCCTTCGGATGGTGCTCCTCACCGTGACAGCACTCGCTGTGTTCAAGGTGTAGGCACCACCAGCTTTCACTTTGCCACAGTCCTTGCATCCCCAGATGCCGACAGCTTTCCTCTTCACTGCATACTTGCCACAGAATTCACAGAAGTACTTGCTGTGCTGACTGATTTCCATCTTCTTAATCTGCTTCCTCAAACTAGCACCATAACGGGTGCCATATTTCCCAACAATACCAACCTTCTTGGTTCTATTGGCCATCGGAAATGGGCGTTAGCAGGCGGCGCGACGAGTATGCAGCTTAGCAAACTCTAGTTTCAACTCTGTCTCTTGTGGCTAAGTTAGTTGTCTCTTGTTGCTAGGTTAGTTTTCTGTTGTTGCTAGGGTAGTTGTCCGATGTTGCTAGGTTAGTTGTCTATTTTGCTAGGTTAGTTGTCTGTAGTTGCCAGGTTTTGTTGTCTGAAGCTGCAAGGTTAGTTATGGCATGTTGCAGGGATAGTTTTTTGTTGTTGCTAGGTTAGTTTTATGTTGTTGCTAGGTTAGTTATCTGGTGGTGCTATGTTGGATATTTTTAGTTGCTAGGTTAGAACAACTAACAAACACGTTTAACAAAAAGACCAAAAGATATCAAAAGGCATTAATTCATAACTCAAAACGCATCAAATAAGTTTTATATAGCAAAACACTTCCATCAGAGATTGTTCAAAAGACATCAAACAAATGTTTAACAAACACTTCCAACTTATCACACTCACTACATTTTAATTCTAAATTTGATCATGTCTACATCAGGCACAAGGAAGAAAGTGCAGGTTGTCACTTCTAAGATTGCATTTTCTTCAAACATTTGCAGAGCGTCACCATTCTGCAATCTCTTCCTTCCATCATCTCCCTGAGTGATGTCTACCCTGTAAACTCGTTCTTCTACTTTTATAGATGCGTGGTGGTAGTGAGAAAATTTGCCTTCGATATGTTCCCTCCAGAAAGGCATTGGTATGGGCTACAAGAATAAAGTAATTTACATGTATTATATGTATTTAAATACAAACAAGTTAGTTATGCAGCCAGATGAAATTTATTAAAATTACCAAACGGACACGTTCAACATGTGTAGGCTTAATCTTGACATTGAAAGTATATTGTGGCGGCCGATTACAATCGTTGTGGTCAACGATTGTGGCTTCATAGTCTAAGTTGCTGGTTGGACAGAAGATCAATAAGAAACCAAGTTCAATGTCCTCTGTAACAATGAACTCACGCCAACCGTCTACAATTGTTGGGCAGCCATTATTCTTTCTTATCACAGTCTCGTACGTGCGTTCCTCTATTGTATGTATAATGCATCTCTGGGACATATTCTCATCAGGGAAATAGTCGTGCGTGGATGGTGGAAAGGGCTGCAACATCACAACATATTTTCTTTTTTTCAGTTAAACTGTGCTTTTTATATGTAACGGTGCACTATTAAAAGAAGAATTAAAACAAAGAGCTTTACCATATAGTGGAGAACCCTGGGCACAACAGGCTTATAGAAGGATGGCAGTAAGTATTCGTTACCGTCATCCAAGTCATCCCAGTCATCCATATTTCTGTAGTATGTTATTGAGATGCAGTTCAATATTCAGAGAGAATAGGGTTACGAAGATGTTAAATTAACATAAACGAAGCATATATAGTCAAACGTATTATGCAATAGTTAATACATAAAACATGGTGATGATTAAGAGAAAATTAACAGAGATTTTAATTCTTATTATAAAGATTGAAGGTAGAAATTGTAGAAGATTTTCACCTGCAACTTTGTGATGTATTCTTCTTGGGTAAGGCGGGCGGCAGGAAAGTTTTTAGCTTTTGACAATGCAGTACAGTATAACCCTAATTTTGTCCACTTTATATGAAGTCTGCCATTATTGACCCATTACAACTACCCGACAAAAATACACTACTTTTCATATGATTTGAATATTGTTGTATATTTTATTCTATATACTTGCATAGTTGCTAGGTTAGTTGTCTGATATTGCTAGGTTAGTTTTCTAAGGATGCTAGGTTAGTTGTCTGATACTGCTAGGCTATTTATTTGTTGTTGCTAGGTTGGTTGTCTTACTTTTCTAGGGTAGTTGTCCGATGTTGCTTGGTTAGTTGTCTGACGTTGCTAGGTTAGTTGTCTGTCGTTGCCAGGTTTGTTGAGTGAAGCTGCAAGTTTAGTTCTAGCATGCTGCAGGGATAGTTTTTTGTTGTTGATAGATTAGTTCTATCTTGTTGTTAGGTTAGTGCTGCTATGTTAGATATATCTAGTTGCTAGGTTAGAATAACTAACAAACACTTGTAACAAAAAGACCAAAAGATATCAAAAGACATTAAATAATAACTAAAAATGCATCAAAAAGTTTTATAGAAAAACACTTCGATCAGATTATCGTACTAAATTGTCGAGCAAAATACATCAGATCAAATAAATTTTTAACAAACACTTCCAACACACCAGAGAACAAAATACCCAACAAATCACAATCACTACATCTTAATTCTAAATTTCATCATGTCTACATCATCTTGCACAAGGAAGAAAGTGCAGGTTGTCCCTTCTAAAATTGCATTTTCTTCAAACAATTGTCGAGCGTCGCCATTCTGCATAGTTTTTCTTCCATCATCTCCCTGAGTGATGTTTACCCTGTAAACTCGTTCTCCTACTTTTATAGATGCGCGTTGGTAGTGAGAAAATTTTCCTCTGATATGTTCCCTCCAGAAAGGCATTGGTATGGGCTACAAGAATAAAGTAATTTGTATGTATTATATGTATTTAAATACAAACAAGTTAATTATGCCGACAGATGAAATTAATTAATCTTACCAAACTGTAATGCTCCACTTAATTTTAAGAGATTTATCGAATTTATTTAATAAAAATCACAATAATTTTTTCGCAAACAATAATTTAATTAAAAACTCAGTGGGCGCTACTAGTTTTTTTCAAAAGCCTTTATCCGAAAAAGCAACCACATTAAAACGAAAGATAGCATGCTCGAATATTAAATCATAAATCTCACTAGCATTCATTAAGTTCCAAATCATAAAAGACAATTCATAATTCTCAAATTCAAAACGACATAATCAATATCCAAATTTTCAACATGAGTTCATAACTAAGCGGAAGCAAAATTAAATAAGCAATAATAAATGACATAACCACCACCCGTCTTGTCTCGTCACCCGCCAGTTGCTTAACCTGCATAAGTTACGAGCAGGTGGGAGTGAGTACAGTTAACTATCGTACTCACACTATGCATATGAATAACATAATAATGGTATGGTCGCAGCATGAACATAAACAATAAAATCATGTCACATCTCTAGCCACATCAATGACTATAGTCTCATCAAAGACTCACTCATGTACATCTATGCTCATCAAAGCTAAGCCATGCCATATCAGTGAAACATGGGAGTGCGTGCCACATCAATGACACGGCCTTCTCATAGGTCTTAATGAGATTTACCTCACTGGGTAACCGTATCTTATCATACGGGGACAACCGTATCAACGGCCATCAAGCTCACATCGATAGGCTACAAGTTCATTTTCATACATAGATCACACCAAACTTTCATCACAATTTAAATCACACATATGCATAGATAATTTTAGAATAACCCACCTGGATTCCGGATTGATAATAACTCAAAGCAATTGGAAGTAGGTCGAGGCTGGACTCCTCAATTACCTACATTGAGTCAAGATGCTACAATCAACATCTATCTTGACTTTAAACGGAAAACACAAAAACAGACCTAGTCGAACTTGTTTCGACTAAGTAGTTCGTGAAGTCTTGTGGATGTTGGAACACTAAGACTCGGCACTAAACTCGACCAACAAACATGTGAGAGTTCAAATAATTCCATCTAATGATAGACCAAGTCAAACTCACAACAAAACGAAAAGCATGTAAATCACAGATTTAACTTCAAAATCTTAGTTTAGAAACTTCTAGCTATTAATCACATGAAATTCATTGACCAGGCTGCCCCACGACTTATGCCTTGAAATTTTAACCAAAATTACATCTCCTAGTAATTAGTAAAACCACCAAATTTCAGCTTCAAACTCAAAGCACATAAACTTATAAAATTCCTACAATAATTAAGCAAAAACGCACATAAATTTATATCTGAACCTAGTGAATGAATTAGGACTTGAACATTTAACATAACAACATACATTATGCTAGAGGCAATGTGTAAAAATCTCAGCCCTTAACATTAACTGCTGCTATTTTTAAAAATTCATACGAGATTCCGCATTTTATCAAATTTAAATCAAAACCGAATCAAAATAGATTCCGAAAATTCCCATCTTTTACCAGCATGATTCTACACATAAACTAAGTATTTCAGTACAGTTTCAGAATTTTTCATCAAACAACCGATTTATAAAAATTCAAACAATTTTCAGCAGATTCAATAAATAATTTTATTACCCATATCAAATCAAGTCCAAAAATTCTAAACATTTAACACAACATATAAAAGTCACAAAGGCATACATATTCGAATTTCAGCTCATTTGGTTCACAAGTGAATTTATTATGCAATTAACACTATTCTGATCAGATTTCATTATAATTATTAAAAATAGCTAAAGGCTTCTAAAAATCACGAAATTTTTACATAATGCTGGTAATGAACAGAAAAGATCACCCTCAAATTTTCAAATCGTTTCGAGCAGAGACCTATTTTTAAAAATTCAAACACCAAAACAGCGACTATTAAGCTCGACAACTTAGCAATTAATTCATCACATGAAATTTCTCATCCGAGGCCTTCTCGTAAGACCAAAGACTCGACTTTGTTCCAATATCCACTGACTTACACGAGTTTCGAGGCCTCGTTCGATTTCTCATAATCGAAGAGATCCCGAACAACACGATTACACATAAAATCACGACTTCACGAAATATCACATTGATCACGTTCACACAATATACACATCTTGCATATCAAATCGCAAATCAAACATATACGTAAATAACATAAACGATAATCACGTAAAATAAACGGGAAGTCGAGACTCGATACCATTCTCGAGAAACGAGCGAGAAGGGTTAGGCTCGACGGTGAACTTCGTCTCGCGAAGGAAGGGCAGCGGCCCG